GACTAATAGCATTAATAACTAATAGTAATGATATTTAGTAATAAATTAGGTAAAATATATAATTTATTAATTTTATTTTTATTTTAATTTTATTGTGATTAATAAAATTGCCTTTATCTCATCAAGGAGGCCGAATTCGACAAAATATCAAGAGATAACTCTTAATTGGCATTAAACGGCCTACACAATTTTAATATTGAAAAAAGTCAGTGTCGTACATGTCTTTTTTTGAAAAATATTCCAGTAAGATAATCCTTATGCACGTCCCTGATGAATTTATATACACTTTTTTAGCATTAGCACTTATAGTAACTTTTACATCTCAACAAAGCAGAATCGGACCTATGTTGATATGAAAAATAAATCTTATTTTTACGTGAGGAATCTCCCCACGAGAGATGGCACATGTTTTTGAAACACCCTGTATAATGTTACCTATTACGTACGCGTAATCTCAGCGCTGTATCTCAGAAACTACTTTTCGTATAACTTTGGGGAAAAAAAATCTAAAAAGTAAATCGTCCAAGAGAAATCGCTGGAAATTATTTTCAAGTTCGAAAAATGTCCGCTAGGGGGTGCTTTTCTGATAGCCAACCAGAAAACAGGGGTTTTCTCAAAAATATGCAGGTGAACAGGTATTTTAAATATTACTATTAGAATCATCGAGAATGTTGTAATTTTTTTGCTATAGAGTATTTTGCTCTATCTTATAAAATAAAGTGGTGGGGGAAGGTTAAACTTGCTTTTATTAAAATAAGGATAACTCTGGTTAAGCTAACCCGATTTAAATAACCTAGGGCTCGTTTAAAAGAGCTTTTCTTCCTTAATGATCTCCAGTATAAATTTTGTTTCCATAATTTTTTTCGTGGTAGTTAGAGGGCGCTATTTGACATCATAACAGATATTGCGCCTTTGCATATAAAAAAAATAAATGGGAGGCTATATTTCTCTTCACACCGTTAAATAGAGCACAAAATTTCCAAAATATCAGCGCAAATCGAAACTTTCTACCTTCCCTCTAACCGGAGATATTAAGAGAACAAATTCCGTTGGGTGCCGCTGAGGATTATATGGTCAAAAAATCAGGGTTGGCATGATTTAAATCAAGTGATTTTTTTTAAAAAATCAATATCAACATAGATAAATTTGTCTATTTTCAATTTCTTATATTTAAGCATAATCTGACAACATTTTATAATTTGGAAATATGCATGCAACGCACTTTCATGCGACACGCGGACGGCCGGCGCGCGGCGCGCATATTCGGAATTCGCCGACACATTAGCCGCTCGGAAAAGTTCGGGTGCTGCGTAAAGTACCGACGTATTAGACTAATACGTCGGCGATTTACGATGTGCTCAAAATATTGTTTCTTTCTTCGCAAATTTGTAAATCGGATTAATTTGATCTGAATCTGTAATGTGTATTCGTAAATTTTTATCACCAATCAGTAATCGTCTGTAGTTGGTTTTTATTATTTTCTAGTGATTAGCATATTTCGAGCAGATTGCTAATTCAAAAACATGGATTTTAAGACATTACCAGCTGTACCTGATAAATAAATAGCCTCCAGTAAACTGAGATTGCAGATTACTGATAAAAACAAATTTTAGATACGTTGCTTTTTGCAGAGAAACTAAATAATAACAGTAATGTTATTAATGTTTCATTAATACAAAATAAATAGTAATAGCACAGATAGCATTTTTTATACTGCGAAAAAGACTTGTGCACTTTCATGTGAATGCTAGATATACCATACGATGTAAAAAAACGACGTCAGAGCTGGCTTGAAAATAAAGATAGCTGTCATTTTGTATGTAAAATATAGGGAATGTCAATGATCGTCATTTCCAAACCTACACTAGGCGCTGTTTTTTTTCGATCATACGGTACTTGCGATAAGTCTCAAAACTTAACTTACCCTTTATTAAGGCTCCAGTGATTCTATTATCGGCATGGAAGCTTAAAACTGGTTAGTGAGTAAATTTTAGTTTATTTGTATTTTATTATAGAATGGATAACTGCCTTGGTAAATGTTAGAAGAGAAATTTTTGAAAGAGTTTAAGAGATTTGAGATTTTATCACTGCCATTTTGATGGCAAACAAAAGAAAAATAGGGAAGCGAACCGCAAAAGAATTTTGCGAAATATAGACTGTCCAGTAAAATTATAGGTAAAATAACTATCCGACACTTTTTTCCAGACACAAAATTAAAAAAAATATGGGATTAGGAGTGAATAAGTCCAAAAAAAAATATAAAATATGTCTTATTTTTTTTCTATTCATATATTTTCTTGATAATATGCTTTGCTTATAGACTTAAGTTGTTTAGTAATTTAATAATAAATAAAGTATTTTTTTAAGTTAACAAAATTTTAGTTACAATTTTATACTAAAAATGACAAATTGAAAATTGCCTCATGAAATTTTAGAAAATCATATTTCTTATTTTAAATGGAATACACCGTATTTAATTTTAGTGTTAAAGATAATTTCTGTTCAAGTCTGTTTTTTATCATTTTTTATCATTTTCTAACAGTTCTCGATATGTAACCTATACTGTAATGCAATATGCAGTTAACAGTGTTTCGTTTTCGTAAATCACCGACGCATAAGGGTTGGGACTAGTCTAATACGTCGGTACTTTATCAACCGTTCGTCGCCGGTCCCGATCTAATCCGAACGGCTAATGTGTCGGCGATTTCCGAATATGCGGCCGGCGCCTCCCGCCCCGCGTAGACTTTAGTATTTGATTCGACGTCGACGTTAATGCAACTTGGTCGATAAATTAATACAGTTTCATATTTTTTATGTTTTTTTTCCGCTAATTGACCACAGTGCATAATGTCTGGACGAAAAAAAGAACAATATTTGGCAATATTTTATTCAAATTAAATCGAAATCTTCTACTGGGGTTCGGACGCAGTGCAAATCGTGTCAAAAAGAGATGCAAGGTTTCGTAACAAGATTGAAAAAGCATTATCAAGAATGTCAAGCAAAAACTGATGCATCTAATAATAGAGACCCAGAAAATAATGGTAGGTAAAGTAATAATTTATAAGATTGTTATAAAATTTTAAGTTTAAAGTAGATACATATAATAGTACAAAAACGAGAGAATTTGGTTTTTATTTCACGTTTTTTTTAGATCGTCACGAGAACGAAGATATTTATGAAAATCCAGTAGCCTCCTCATCAAGGACAATTCCTCCAATCTTACTGGAAGCCTCGATAAGCCAGTAAACCAGTCAGCCAGTTTCAACAAAGCGTTCCAAACCCAAGTAGCATCTATCTGACTTCGAACTAAATCTGACTTGAAGCGACGTCAGACTTTGTGCAAATTTAGGTCGGGTGCTGGTGATACGACCGGTGACATCGTTTTCCTATTAAAAGCGACGTCGTTGGATCCGAGTCGGTAAATCCAATGATCTGTCGACGTACAAAATAACAACGTACCATTTTTATTAATTTCCCAACGTCGTTTCCACGTTGGCATGCACGACGTACATATATTTGAACTAGCCTGACGTCTACCCGTTGTCCGAATAGGATACGTCTCACTGATAATCCCTAAAGTAACGTCCAATTATATTTTGTTGTATTTTATGTTCATATTTATAACCTAATTTACGTATCTCTATTTACATCCGTAAATACAACCCATTAAGTAGCATTTGCGGCCTAGTGAACATCATGAACATAACCTAATAAAAAGTTTTTGTAAACAAACTTATTTTTTTTATTATGCCTAAAAACACTAAAAAGGCATTTAGACATTCATCTATATTTTACAGAAAGTGGTCGAGGCTTTTGCAAAATAATAATAGTAATAGTGATGTCTTGCCTCCACTCACGAATGCTTTTTATCCGGAAGAGATGCTGCATTACACTGGTGCATCTTAATTTCTTTTTTTAGCTTAGGAAACCAGCAGACCTCCTCCTCCTCCCATATGTGAGGTACTGGTTCCAATTCTTTTAAATTTTGTATATATACTATCTTAACAAGTGGCTGTCCATTTTTTAAGGAGAAAACAAAAACTAAAATATAATTGCACAAATCCACAAATCACTGATACGCAAAGTGAGGTTACGCCTAGGAAACCGTTGAACCGTCAACCGTCAAACATTTTTTGACAACAAACAGTTGACCTATTATAGACCAATAACAGACAACGTCGGGAATGGTTTACCAGGAATACGAAAAATGATATGCTCTGTGGCCGACGACGGATGCTCCTACGTATGCCGGCCGATCGCAAATTTTACGTGGCGTACGTTGGAATTATATACGTCATAATACGATTGCCGGTCGTCCGGTTTGATAATTTCGGTCGTGTGAGACGACTAATATTGGAGACCCGGTCGGAATTGGTATATTGGTAGTTCATATTAAGTCGGACACAGAAATCCGCCATTCTTAACAAGTATCCGTTTGTCAGCCATTTTAAAATCGTTTTTTGTTTTTAAAATTTACATTCACATTCCGATTTCTAGTAGAATAATATTGATAAGGTTGAGTTTGGGGGGAACCACAGAACAGTTTTATGATTAAACCAGCTAGAAAATAAAAAAAAATATTTTGCGAGTTACTTTTTTATAGATATTTTTATTTCATAAATCTACCTAATTTTGAAGACGCTCGTTGTTTTCCGGCGTATTTTAATCAGATATATCAAAAAAGTGACTTCCGTTGACAAAACTGATGTCTGGATTAATGATTCAGAATTATTATAATACGAAATTAGGTAGGCACTTAGTTATATTCGAGGAGTGATTATGAATCCATCTGTAATTAGGTAGTTTGGTTAGGTTTTTATATATTCTTGGTAGCGAATTTGAAACCGAACGTAACGTAAGTGCTTTGCGACGAATTTTAAGTGACTGAAATCCAACGTAATATGACGTTGGTAATTGGTAGAATTACATTCCCTATTACGTCAGATATCGACGTCCAGGCGACCCGAATCTGTATTACCCATTTAGGTGCAAATAAGGGGCGTCAGGTGGTCGAACCGACGCACAGTGGTTCCGATATGGCAAAAAGTGACGCATATCGGTTAAAATTCATATCTGATAAATCTCTCTTTTAATAACATATTTCAAATACGCACCCGATAAACCATTTATCACTATCTCGTCTATGTTTTTTGTTGATTATTTTTTGATGGCGAGCATTTTTAAGATTTTTATCATTTTTACACTTTGTAAATCGAACGGAGGTCAGCATTAAGATAAATTTTGGTGTTTTATTAAATCAACAATAATACGTGTGAAAAGTAATACAACCATGGAGGAAGGCCATTCAGGTAAGTATTTTTTTAATAATCTGTATTTGTCTTTTGAGTTCAAATATCTTAAGAGCACCACCGAACACCACGCTAGTTTTTATTTTTAAAGTCTTTGTAGAACCCCTCCTACTTTTTAGTTCAATATTTAGACCCGCCATGACCCGCCGAAATAGAATTTTTACCTAATATTGTTTTCGTTTTAAAAAAAATACGAACTGGCGACTCCCAATTTACACTAAACTAAATTTTTTGATGCCAGATAGAAAAAAAAACCATTTGGTGATTTCTTCTGGCGTCTATTCATCAATTGAAAAACACCTGACATTTTAGGTAACATCAGTCGTATGAATTTATGTAAACGTTTTCTTAAGAATGGATTCAATGGAAAATCGGAAGCTGAAATTTTGGAAGAAATTACCCTATATCTAACAAATTATTGTGATATTTAGAACACGGAGCAAGAATCCGCTAAGAAAATACTCAAATCATTCATTCAAAAATGGACCAAAAGATGGAGAGATTCATCTTATTCTTGGCAAAAATTTAGTTTGAAAAATGCTGATTGGTTAGAAAAAAATGTATTCAGTGACGTAGCTATAGACGAAAATTCGCAATGCACTGGGGAATCGGAACCCGGTCCATCAAAAAGAAAATGTTTTTCCGATTTATCCAAATCTCAAAAAGACAGAACTACGAAAGGTGATTTTTTTATTTCAATTTTGTGCACTGTATTTACCATATATTAATTACTTCATTATAGACGTCAGAGATAATTATACTTCAGACATCCTTGCTTACGCAACCGTTTCTGTTCTTAAAAAGGAACATAAACATGATGTTGCTAAAGCAGTTTCAGCCGCTATTTCTTCTCCGGATGAAGTGTTGGCTGCTTGAAACAAAATATTCCCAAAAAATTTACGCCTAATGAAGCCATCGCTTTATTTATAATCAACAGCAAGCAAACAAAGGCACAGTACCAAAACATGCGGTCAGCTACACTTTGGAAAGGTAATTTCATTAATTCGCAATTTGTATAAATATTTTTTTTTCATTATGTTTTTCATCAGGTACGGATCTGTACCCTTCATACCAGGAGATACTTAAATATAAAAAGTTGAGCTATCCTGTTTTAAATCCTGATGATTTTACTGAAACTGAAGCCAAAGTGACTCTTCAGAATTTAGTTGATACCACAGTAGAACGAATTTTAATTAATATTGCTGATCTGAATAGTACATGTGATATTATTGCCACACATAAATGGGGTATGGATGGAAGCAGTGGTCATTCGGAATTTAAGCAACGATTTATGGATCCAAAAAATTCCGATTCTACTGTATTTTGTACTAACTTGGTGCCTATTTCATTAACATATAGAGATGATTCTCAGAAAGATGTTATTTGGAGAAATTAAAATCCAAATTCTTCAAGGTATTTATTTATTTATTTATTTATTTATTTCAGTCTTTAGGATACAAACGGAACAAAAGTCCAAAACTAGTATCCTGATATTACAGTTTACAATAATTTTCCATTAACAATATTATAAGTTATAAAACAAGTAACATCTACAATATATTTAGATTTCTTAATTAATTAATACAAAGCATAGAGGTAGTGCGTTTTACAGGTCACTGTAGTCTATATATACACAGTATCACAGGACAGGAGATCGGTCTACTCTAACAATTTCAACTTAAGCCTATTCTTAAAGGTTAGTAGATTTTGATTGAAAAAATCTAGTTCAGAATCAGAACAATACAAGTTAGCAGCCCTAACCATCCTCACCAATGGTGCATTCTGGTAATAATTGGTCCTACAATATGGAACCCAAAAGAGGTCATGACCCCTCAGCGCACGGACAGGCACATTAATCTTAACTCTCGATAGGATATTTGGAGAGCTAGACAGATTATTAATGATCTTAAACAAAGTTAAAATGTCAGATAGAGTACGTCTCTTTTCCAATTCAAGAATTTTGAAGCGCCGCCGTATCTCTGAGTAATCATGATGTGCTACGTGGAAGTGCGATTTATAGCCAAGGAATCTCAAAAAATTTCTTTGTATTTTTTCCAGTCTCTCAACGTTATTTCTATATACAGGGCTCCATATGACAGATGCGAATTGTAGTTTACTAAATACATATGAGTAATACAGAGTCAAAATCGTTTTGGAGTTATTGAAATCAACACATTGTCTTTTAATGTATCCAAGGGTCCTATTACAATCATTAACCAGTTTGTCAATATGGAGTTGAAAAGTCATTTTAGAGTCAAACAGAATCCCTAGATCTTTTATATGGGTAACTCTGTTTAAAACAGAACTCCCAAGTTTATAATTATAGTTAATGATTGTAGATGCCCGAGAGAACGACAACACAGAACATTTGTCAGGATTCAAAAATAACTGATTTTCATTGCAAAACTCGATCAGCCTCTCAAGACTAGCTTGTAGAATTTCAGGCGGTATGATTAAAAATACTGAAGAAAAAGGGTATGAAGATTGGAAACCTGAAATTTATGAGCCTTTTTTCCTACCAACTACATCAATATCTTACTACATATCAAATTTTATCTAAATTTCGTCGAGTTATTAGACTTAGACTAGAATTTGGAGGAGCCTAATCTAAATTTTTGATAAATTACATTTTCAAATTTTAGCTTATGTCGACCAATGAGAATGGCTTTCTGCAAGGAAGACTGTAATACAATTCTAACAGAGTATTCTAGAGTGATGAAGGAAATTGTGGAAATACAGGACAGTAAAATAAAAATTAATAATAGCGTAGAAGTCATTGTAAGACATAGATTCTACTGTACAATGGTAGATGGAAAAATAATAAATGCGGTGTGCAAAAATGCTGCAACTTCGGTAAATGAGTTTTTGTTAAATATAATATTTTAAACGTTCTGCATAATGTTTAAACCTATTGTACTTTTAGAGATGCCCTGTTTGTCTAGCTGGACCAAAAACTTTGAATAATTTGCCGAGCCAAACCAATGCAGATGTTTTGAAATTTGGAATATCCCCTTTGCATGCAAAAATTAACTCCATGGAATTTTTACTGAGATGTTCATACAAGTATGTATATTAGATGAGAGAATTAAACATTGTTAGTTAGATGAGAAGTTGCTGTCATGTCAGCAAGCATTATCCATCTATATTTAATTTATTTTTAGACTGGCCTCTACGAAGGAAGAACAAGAAACTAAAAAGAAAATAATACAAAAGCAGTTTAAAGAGAAAACTGGTTTAAACATAGGTAAACCAAAACCAGGGTTTGGTATTTCCCATGACGGAAATACAGCTAGGAGATTTTTTCAGAACTCGAAAGTTACATCTGAAATTATAGGGATAGAGTTACCTATTATTGAAAGGTTCTCGAATGTCCTAGCTGCGATATCATGCAACAGAATTATTTCACCTGAGTCTTATGAAAATTATGCACGTGAAACTGCTGAACTTTTTCACAAAACCTACCCTCAATTCACGTTTTCACCAACAGTTCATAAAATTCTTTACCATGGACATGAGTACATGAAACAATTTCCTTTCATTCCAGTAGGTAATATTTCTTATAAAACTTTAATACCAAACAATAATTATTTTTTTAATTTAGGAGCATTGAGTGAAGAACCACAAGAAGCCCGCAACAAAGATTTTAAAAGATATCGTACAGACTTCTCAAGAAAGATTTCTCGGAAAGACACTTTAGAAGATATTTTTAACAGATTTATGTTAACATCTGATCCTCTATTTTTTTTCTTATTCAAGAAATTTCAGTTGTCATCAAAGACAACAAAAAAGGATGAAAATGTACACCTACCTCTAGATTTTCTCAATGAGGAAACTTCTGTTAACAATGCCATGATGGGTGTGGGGTACGATATGAGTTCTGACGAGGACAATTCTACAAGTAATGATGAAGATGACGAAATTACTAATGAGTTTGAAGATGGCGTTTTTTAACTAGCGATTCATATTGTTGCGGACCGGTGTGGACTCGACCTAACCTAACTATATGACCCGCCCTCGGATGACCTTAACATCGCATTAAAGAATAGACACCGTAATGATTCATTCGAAGATTCGAGAAGAATGAGTCCCACTGGAATGGAGTAGTACATACGAGAACATTCGAAACCTTCTCTATGCACCTAACGATCTATGGACTATTCTAGAAATCTTTAGCTGTAGGTATAAATGCCGGCGGCTGTGGCCTAGAGAGGGCAGTTATAAATAGACGAGTGCAGCTGACGCGTGGATGTAGAACAGTCGTCCTCGTCTTGCGGATGTTAAGGACTTCACAATATTGACGTTTTTTAATACCTTGAAACCTTAACTTTGTGCTCCACAAAATCAATTACAAAATGTATCCCTTAACCAAAAAATTACGTCAATAAAATCACATGCGGCACTTTTTCACCATTTGGAACCACTGTGCGACGTTGGTACCCGACGTCGGGTTTATTGAACGCGACGTATACCCGACGTTAGATAACATCCAAATGCTACTTGGGAAGCTTCTTTAGACAAATTTGTTGTACAAACGCGTCTTGACCAAAAAGAAAAAAATTGACAAACAGATAGCAAAATACATATTTGCTACCAATACTCCTTTTAGGCAAGTAGAACATACAGAATTTAAGAAAATGATAGAACTATTAAGACCAGAATATAAACCACCTAGTCGTAAAGATATAGGTCAAAAATTATTGGACGAGGTGTTTGAAGAGGAACAAGAAAATTGCAAAACTGTGTTAGCTGGAAAAACTGTGTGGCTTTCCATGGACGGTTAGTCTAATATTCGAAATGAGCCAATAATATGTTGTTCTGTGACAACAGATGGCCATATTGTGCTAGTGGATACTATTGACACCTCAGGAAAGTCTCACACAGCAGGATATTTGGAAACATTGGCCAAAGACTGCATTGCCAAAACAGAGGCAAAATATTGCTGCACTATAGGAAGCTTAATAACTGATAATGCCGCAAATATGGCAAAAATGCGTCAATTTCTAAATAAGGACGATACGTGTAAAATAATTACCTATGGCTGTTCAGCACACGTTTTAAATCTTTTAGCAAAAGATTTAGAAATCAAGAATGTTACAGAGAATGTAATTCAAATAATAAAATATTTTAGAAACAATCATATGGCACTAAAAATGCCTATAGAGGTTAGATGGTCGACGTTATGTGTCAAGCATTAGAAAGGTATGTCTCTAATTGAGCCATTTTAATTGAAATTTCCGAATCATTTAAAGAAATAGATCAAACGATTCAGTTAAAAATTCAGAATATTGACATTAAAAAAAAAGTAGAAGATCTTATTTAGATAGATTTTAAGTCGAGGACGCAGTCGTAGTAGTCTCCTTAAAATGTGTGCTCCTCAAATATTCGCGTAATTCCGTTGTTTTAAAGTTAAAATTAATATTTAAAAGTGTGGTATAATGTTTGTTTATACGTTTAGTGGCAAATTTTAGTTTTTATTTTGCAAATTCCGTTGTATTTTGTGAAAAATTAGACACAGTGCTTCTTCGATCTTATCGCGCTAATTGTTTGTTTGCATTTTTATGCGGCAGCTACGTTCCAAATTTCGTTTCGTTTTCGTTTTAATTTCATCATTTTTACACAAGCAAAATAGTAGGGTGAGATGGCTCAAAAAAGTTTCACATCTGGCAACCAATGCGCCCTTTTGGATTCAGATAGTACATAGGTAGACGAGTCTAAAAAGCCCGGGACACAAATTTTTCTGGCTCTCTAGCGGTCTTGATGACCTAATCAAAATGGCCGCCAAAATTTTGAGACACGCTTCTAGATTTCCCGTTATAACTCAATTTTCCTTTCCGATATTTACATATGTTTTTAGTGATTATGAATTAGGAGAAAACATGCTTCCCAACGATGTCTTTGGTTTTATAGTTTAGGTTCACAAAATCAAAAATATTTGAAATTTTATTTTTGTAATTTTAATTTTTTTCATCGCATTTTGCTAAATAACTTGAAATCAGTTACATTTAGCTAAAAACGTGTCATACACTTTTTTGTTGGTCAGAGAATACCTAGCGGTATATATGACTTCTAGTATATAGACTCTAGTCGTTATGGTAAAAACACAATTTATATAGATCCTGAAAAGTAATACAGCGACCTAATGACGATTTAACTATCAAATGTAATTGCTGTAATGTTTAATGTGTTTGTAAAAATATACGGAAGATGGTGTTTACCATCCTAAGTCGTGTCCCACTGTGTTTGTAACATCAGCAATAGATAACATTGATCACAACCAGTCTTCTTCTACTGCCGTTACTTCTTTCCATGGTTCAAGTGTTACTATTATTCAGCATCCTCACAGTGAAGCAACTATAGAGATTGACGATGACAGCATTCGTATCCAGCAGTGGAACAAACAAATTGTCAGTGGTCAACTTCAATATTACACTACTCTTCCTGCAACTGATAAAGTAACAAGTGACCCACCTTTGCCAACTGTCAATACACAGTACACCGACCACGATCCTGCATTCACCCCTAGGAAAGTTTTAAGTCATTGGCTTAACTCTGTCCTGCAGAGAGTGTATATTGAAGACATACAAGTATTAGAGCATGGCCTACTATATCGTTTGCTGCTTTTCATGCACACAATGAACCTGGTATTAAAAAATTAGGTGTAATGTGTCTTTGCTTCCACTTCTTAATGACGAAATTGAAACGCCATCAATGGTACGTCATATGATGGATATCATAGTAATAGCTACTGCAAAATTGAATGAAAATCAAACATCCGTGATAACAGCTGATCAACCAGTCAACCAGTATATGCTATCGGAAAGCAACTGCAATGGAAATTCCCTGAAGTATGGCGAGGATCGCATTTATTTATGATGGGAGGCCTACACATAGAAATGACGGTCATTAATTTACTTGGCAAGTGGTTAACAGGCAACGGATGGATTGAATTAGTAACAACCGCTGGTATTGAAGTTACTTTAGTTGCGTTGCATTGTCTACAGGTAAAAGCATTGAACAAAGCATGTGAAACGAATTTTGGTCTCAGTGAAGAAGGTATTGAACAGTGGATTTTGAACAGTTCCAATATTGGAACACAGTCATCGAACTGAAATCTCTTCTAGTTCAACTTGTACTGAGTATTCGTACATCTAACTTTCCAATGTACGTCAACACTTTGGCTCAGTTATGTCCATGGACATTTTCGTTGGATGCAGTCCATTATTCTCGGTGGCTGTCAATATTTGTAAGCACTCTGCAAGACCTTCCAGAAAAGCATCCAGATGTACATGCTCAATTTCTTCGTGGTAACTTTACGAGCAGCAAAACTGTTAGAACTTTTTCTGCAATATCTGACGATCAGCTTCATGAACACAATAATAAAGTTATAAAAGGTGAAGGTGGAACATATCAAACAATATATCAAACGAGCTGTATTCCAAGCCAGAATTTGGAGCAACAATCTCGTTGCACAATAGACGATACCTTCACCAACCGAGTGGGGATGGTTACTAACTTCGGAAGGATCATACCGTCCTGTGTGGATAACAATACCAGAAGTTTCAGAACACTGTGTAGAACTTACCTCCTGTACTTGCTGCAAGCAATGTACATCTTGTAAATGTGTTAATATGGGAATACGCTGTACAAAACTTTGTGTATGTGAAGGACAGTGCTCGCATAGTGATCGGTAATCATAAGTGAACGGGTAATGCAAATCCTCTACTCTGGATATGACTTCTGTAACTATATATAACTGTATGTTTGAAAGCTACTTTACAGTTATACCTTGAGTGGGCTTCATGTGTGCGATTTTAAAACGGAAATCAAAGTTTCGTCTTCCGAAAAAAGCTGTACTTTATTTACTTATTAATCTAAAATTAGTTATTAAATTTTTTGCTTTTTATCAGGTACAAAACCGTTGTATTACTTTTCGAAATCTATAAATTACATTGCTGTCCTAACGACTAGCTGTGCAACGCTACATTGTTTTGGCAGATTTTTAGCAACTGTTTATGATAAAATAGAAGATATACATATATACCGTTGTAAAGGTAATTTTTTTTCCGAAGAAAAAAGTATAGAACACATTTTTAGCTACATATAGCAAATTTCAAGTTATTTAGAAAAATCTGACGAAAAAATGAAATTAAAAAACATTTTTTTTAAGTAACAAATATTTTTGGTATTATAAACGTAAATAATTTTGTGAAATATACCATTAAAAAGCGCGTTTCCCGCCTCTTTTATAATCACTAACAATATTTGTTAATATCGAAAAGTAAAACTGACTTATAGCGGGAAATATAGAAGCGTGTCTAAAAATTTTGGCGGCCATTTTGATTACGTCATCAAGTCAGCTAGAGGGCCAGAAAAAATTGTGTCCCGGGCTTTTTAGACTTGTCTATCAATGTACTATCTAAATCCAAAAGGGTGCGTTGGTAGCCAGATGTGAAATATTTTAGCAGAATTTTAACCTAACATACCCCACTAAAATGAACCGAGATTTTAAGTGTTGCAGACACAGGGAGTTTTTAAATTATATTTACATTTACTGCTATTCAGTTTTTCACCCGAGCTGCTCTGATATACTTGCTGAATCCTTAAAATTGGGCGGTTACAAAATTTTGTGTTCAAACATTTGTCAATCAAATTATAACGAGGATGAAAATATGAAGAAGACCTTTGATTCTAAAGTTGCAAGCCTTCTCGCTGAGCTAAATGACAAAGATAGGCTTATTGAGAGTTTGCGTAGAAATAGCTTGGTTTTTGAAGATGAAGTTACAGAAGCCGAAAAACAGTTTTCTGCTTCCATAGATCAACTTCACAAACGCAATGAGGAACTAAAAACTGAAATAGCCCACCTTAAAGCGAAGGAACAATAATTTTTGGTGAAAGTGAGATCTTTGGAAAGTGACAAAACTCAACTGGGCGCAAAATTGAAGGAATTAACTTCTATAAATAATG